TATAGAAAAAAAGCTTTCAAGTATTGTATTGATTTTTTTTAGTTGACTATTTCTGAAAATAATGCACAGAGGTTGTCTTTTAGCATGCTTTTAATTATTTTTATCAACTGCAAATTATTCTCTTATTTCGTTAATGAGGATATTACTTTTAGAACATTCTCTACAGAAAATGCAATTTTATCATAATAACTGTCAAGTATTTATCATTCACAGAAAAAATAAAATTATCTAGTGTATTGGAACTAATACTTGTTAGGATAACTTAATTTTGACACATAAAATAAATTTATTATAGCCAGTGTCCTTTAATCCTTATATTTGATCCAAAAAATTCTGATTTATTATAATCCACTTATTATAATCCACTGATGAAATTATGTGTTTAATTCATGATTACTTTTTTATTCAATCCAACTGGTTAATTGAATAACTTAATAAATTTTTCTAAGCATTATGTTGTTTTTTTTAACGATAGAAAAAAAGCTTTCAAGTTTTGTATCATTTTATTTTAGTTAACTATTTCTGAAAATAATGCACAGAGGTTGTCTTTAATTATGTTCTTGATTATTTTTATCAACCGCAAATTATTCTCTTATTTCGTTAATGAGGATATTACTTTTAGAACTTTCTCTTCAGAAAATGTAATTTTATCATAATATGGAGCACCTTAGACACCTAACGTTAATTTTACTTTTTGCATATGTCGTAAAAACTTAAGATCTTTCAAATATAATATAAATTTTTATCCACACAATTATAAAATTTGTTTATGCAAAGAAAGACATTTTGAAAAGAATCATACAATTTTTATTAGTGGCTCAGAAAAATTTGTAAAAAATGCACAAATAAAAAAAATTCTGTTAACTTCATGAAAACATTGTGATGGCACAGTGCCTTTAAAATATCGATATTTTTTTATTCTGGAGATTGCTCTCTCAACATGCACTCGCAGATTAGATACCTTTTTATTTTCTTCTCTCTCCTCAACACTAAACTGAATCAAGTTTTTTAAAAAATGAGGAGTCACTAAATTGCAATTCTTTTTCTGCAGTTCTTTATGGATTAAAAATCCTCTATCTGCAAGGATTGTGTCGTTGGATAAGTGGTTGAGAAGTCCAGACTCCAGGAAAAGTTTTTTGTCAGAAATTCCCCCACACCACAGATCGGAAATGTAGCATATTGCTCCAGAAGGTGTTATTCCAATTAAGGCTTTCAGCGTGTTTTTATTTTTGTAATGGCTGAAAGTTAATTGCTGAATCCTTGGATTTGAAGTCTTATGGATTGCTATCTCTGTGCAATCCAGAATAAGCCTGCAATTTGGATACGTGCGTAGAAATGCCTCCGGCATGTACTCCAATACTTGTGATTTTGAGGGCCAGATATCTATCGCCTTAAGTTTAATGTACACAAAATCAATTACTGAGGATAAAATCCTACTGATTGAGGTTTTTGAAACATTAGTGACGGCACTCAGAAACTCAATCGTCACACCAGATTTAATCCGAACTAAAAAAATGAAAAACTTGTCTTTCGCTGACACAGTGCAGCTATCTTTTAGTTCTGTAAGCATTAGAAAATTAAAAACTGTTTCAAAGACAGTTGGTGTAAATCCAGTTACTGAATTAAAAAGAACACTATCCTTGCACAAAACTTGGTAACAAAACGTTTTGCTAGCTAGCAAATTTTCTAGTTCTTTAATTTTTTTTTCTGCAAGACTCAAACTGTCTAGCAAACAAGAAAAAACGCTTTCATCAGTCTGCACACTGGCATCTTTAAATGTCGCATCTTCCACTGAGTCATCAGGAACATAAGCAGGCCTAGAAAATAATATTTAAACTATGAAACAAATGCATAAACATAAATCAGCAATTTATAAATTTTAGAGAAGTTGATGTAAAAAATTATTCACAAATGCTAAGAAAATTTTAATAACTAAACTGTTAGGTGATTTTTTTTCGTAAACCAGACATAGAATTTATCAGAAAATAAATTCTGTTACCATAGTAAATATATTATCAGTTTTTCTTTTATGTACATAACAGAAGTGGAAGAACTTCTCCTGGAAAGACTGTCTCTGGGTAGCAAAAATGAGTTTTTATAATACAAAATTAAATGCAATTTTTTTTTAAATTAGTTTATTTAAAATAGTTCTATCATTCATAATTGGTTTCTTTCTTTTTACACTAGTTACATCAGTAAAGATCATTTTTATTGACACTTAAATTTATTCATCAATCTAGTTTTCATAGTTCCAACAACAAGTGGTATTTCCGCGTGAAGAAAATGTAAAATAAAAATTTCTTGCGGAAAATCATGTTCCTACGAAGACGTACATATAATATGTATGTATGTGGCAGAAGGAGATAACCTATGATAAGTAAATGCAGTTACCAAAATAAATTTTAAGCTTTGATACACATGTCGACTTTATACATATTTCAAATCTCATAACCTCATCATGATGAATTGTCCACCAAAAGAATTTTAATTCTTTGGGTGTACAATTTATTCGACTATCACAACTGGTCAACGTTCTCCATTACTATTATATATTACATCAGTTTCAAACAGAGATTGTTTACATATTGTAATATTGATTAAAAAAATAGTAATTGAGAAAATTACTAAAGATTCTGCTCATTTAAAAAATTATAATTGATTAACATTTTTAATTATAATAAAAAACTTTTTATGTTATTAAATAGAAAAATGACACAAATGCAAATTACATACACAGAATTTTTTCATAGCATTGAATGTAAAAATGTAAGTATCAACCCCACGCTAAATAAATTTTTATCAGTTCGAGCTAAAATCTGTATTAACGATTCTATAAAAAAACTGCTTTTGAGAATTACATTTTCAGAAAACTACCCTTTAAAAAGATATTTGATCATAGCATTTTTTTTTATAGGTAAAGTTAAACTGGCTTTAAGTCTTTGTGGTCATATAAAAACATTAAAGAGTGNTAAAATAAATTTATACAGAAGATTAATATTTATAAGATTTATATTAAAACATAGCAACAATAATAGATATTAAAGTGTTTTTAAGAAAGGATGAAATAAACACAAATGGGAAAGATACAAGACAGTTATAGAATAATAAGAAATGAAAGCTTAGATATTATGAGGTAGGAAAAAAATTGCTTTGCCAATATCTATTTACAAAATAAAGTGAAAAGTTTAGGCAAAAAGAAATTGTTTTAAAGGAATAATAAAGTAAAATTCAGTTTAATTTATGCTTCTGCTATGTAAACAATGGACGTAGTTGGTCGGGCATTACAACACCACGTGACCAATCAGACGAAGTTGGGAAGAGCCCATAACGCGGTACGAGTGTTGAGTGATGTAAATTTTTGGCGCAAGAGCCATTTTGGCTATACCGCGCCCAAACCTAGGTAAAAATTACTGTAGCTTTGTTAAAATCATAACGCGGTACGAATGATGTGA